CAAAAGAAATCATGTCAACAATAAACATGGGCGTACTGCTGCAATATCTTCAAGATCTTGCTTAGACAGGTCTGGAGCAATTTTTACAAGCAGCGGAGGTGGACCTTCTTCACCCCACTGCATTTCATCTCGTGCTGCTTGTACCTAATAAATTAAAGGCAGATATAATTGATCCAACTTTATTAGGAAGTTTGTGAAGCCACCACCACACAAGATTGCAGAGAGAAAACATCGATAAAGCCATCAAACCTTCTTCACAAGGTCTTTTAACTGTTTTCTTCCCTGGAGTTGGCGCAGTCCAGGAGTGTTTGGTGAAGAGATGTTAACCACCTAAACCACCAAAAGAAAGCATGAAGAATGTGTGGGTTTGTGTCTGTGTAAGATTGAACAATCTAAAAAGACAACACAATCCCAACATGTAAAGATATAAATACTCCAAAATCAGCATAGGTATAGGAGAGAAAAGAAATCAGTTGCACCCGAGATGTATCTGTGAGGGTGTATGGTCAATGATGATAGGGGTTGAGAGGGGGTCAAACACGGTTAAAATGGGATATTTTCTGGCAAGAATGCCCATTAAGTGAGTGCGTTTGAGGCATTTTTAGTTATTCATTTTGAGGGGATGTTGGTGATTTTAGATTTTCCTAAGACTTTCCCTAGCTCTGTCTCTACACCTATCATTGCTCATGTATAATAGGGTTCGTATGTATTGTGGCAAATGCTAGGGAAAGAAAATAGGGAGGAAATGAGAATTTAGGAATGAGTAAAATGTTGAGGAAAATAAACATTTTTCATACTGCATGAATTTATTTGTAATATTTCTTCCAAGCCTTAGTCCCCAAAATCTTTTGGGACTAAGCCTTAGATGTTTTGTTCTTGTATTTCTTCCAACTCTTTTTTTAATATATTTATTTTAATTATATATAAAATGCTAAGAAATCTAAACATATGTAAACGGTTTAAAAAAACATTTTTCATTGTATTCTTTTGGGACTAAGCCTTGGATGTTTCATTCTTGTATTTCTTCCATGTCTTTTTTTAATATATCTATTTTAATTATATATAAAATGCTAAGAAATCTAAACATATGTAAACGGTTTAATAAAAACATTTTTCATTGCATTTCCCAATGTAAATCCAAACATAAGAAAATAACTTTCCTTAGCATCTTGTTTCCTTTACCTAGCACTTACTCAGATCCAAACATAATTGTAATAGAAGACGAAGAAAATGAAAAGGAAAATTTGTACTACCTCCGTCCCCCTAAGTTTGGGACAAAGGGGTGTGGTGTGGTTTTTAAGAAAAAGTAGAATTGTGTGGTTGATATTAAATTGATAAAGTGTGAATAAAGTAAGAATGAATTCTAACCACTCATATATTACCAAATATGGTATGAGACAAACTTAGTGGGACGGACGAAAAAGGTAAAACGGGACAAACTTATGGGGACGGAGGGAGTATTTGTTAGAAACCTACGAGATAGTCCGCAAATTGAGATAATGTATGAACTCCTTGAACATAATCAGCAGCAGCATCTTCTGTCGTCTTATTCTTTCCCAGATTAACCCCAAGAATTCCAGGACCGGCTTTCCCTCCCTGTTTGATTTCATCCCTTGCTGGAGACGAAGTGCTGGAAGTTTCCAACTTTCTCTTACCATGCTGAGCACCTAACCGCTTCGCTACAGCCACAATTCCTTCACTATTGAAGCCGCACCTATTTATTATAGCACTGTAAAGAAAACCACTCAAGCACATTAAGATCAGTATTATATACAAAACGCGTGTTCATATACAATAACAACAACATTACCCCAGTGCCGCAAAGGCTCCCACCTAAGGTGGAGTAGGGGGGGTCAGATATATGCAGCCTTACTCCTAAACTAAAGCACAAAGAGACTGTTTTTGGATGACCCGTGACGAAAATCGCGTCGAAAATTGCATGAACTGACTATTGCTTCATAACAAAGAAACGCAGACAGTTTAGTGAGTCATTTTGTTTTATTCCATCATATTCTCAAGCCAAAAAATAATGAGTTTTGGCTCCAGTGGAAATGATGGAAATAAAAACACATGTTCATATATGTAAAAGAAGTTAACTGTGCACAGAAGTACAATTTTTAAATATTTACACCCTCATTCCCGCTAAGATTGTCTCATCTTTCCTTTCCGGTCCGTCCCACTAAGATTGTCTCATACTAAATTTGGTAAAATTCATGTGGTTCTAAATCATTCTTATTTTATTCTTGCTTTATCAATTCAATTAAAATTATTTAATAAGACTCTTATTATACTAAATAACCGCATCAATTCAACCACATAAACCCACTTTTCTTAATAACCGCATCACATCCTCATGTCCCAATGTTAGCGGGATGGAGGTAGTACTTTTTATATCATATTTACCCGTTCTCCCTCAATCTGAAGATACGAGGCCTTGGATTGCCTTCCTGAGGAATGGGTGTGACTGAGCCAACCTCCACGAAGCCAAAGCCTAACCCAAGTAAACCTTCAACAGCCTCGGCATTCTTGTCAAAACCAGCAGCAAGGCCTAGAGGATTTGAGAACCTCCTCCCCCAAACTTCAAGGCCTAATACAATGGGGTCTTCTCTTTTCTCTACAGGGATCCACCCCCGAGCAGCAGCTGAAACAGCCAGTCTGTGGGCTACCTCAGGATCCAGAAGTGCAAAAAAGGGATTTACAAGTTTTGTTCCCGAGAATAGCCAGCCACTGCACAAATACATGTTTGCAAGATAAGTTACATCTACTCCGCATCTTCTGCTTCATCAATCATCATACAGATATTTGCAAAGTAGTGTTGTAAGAAATTATTCATTTGATCATTCAAATCTAATACCAGAAAGTTTCTTCATCCACTGTACTAGCATAAGCTCCTCCTGCTATTACTAGACCAATGGTAGCTCCGGTAAACAACATTCCCTACAGTTTATGAAGATGAACACATGAATACATGCAAATTGCACAGAAGAAGAAAAATGCCTACTAGAGCATGTGTTGAATGATATGTAGTGAAAGAAATCCTCACTTTTTGTGAGGAAGAACTCAGGTTTCTTTAGGGAATATTGGAATAATAAATGAGAGAAACAAGTTCTGAAACACAAGTTGTGTGGTGCAATTTAAACAGAAAGACCAAGCATCAATTTAACTATAAAAAGTACCTGATTTTTATAAAAGCAGATCAACTTATGTGGTAAGCCTTAGCAAAACAGATGGGATAGAATTTATGTCACGCATCCTAGTCACCGGTTTACGGGGACAAGCCCATGGCATATTTTAAATCCATAGGTGATACAAACCTAAACATGGTTTCTTTTCAAACTATAACTATATCAGACAAATTGAATCAAGTTTTACCCTTTCTAGCTCTTTTAGAGACTACAAATCCCTTCACATTTTTTGTCAAAAACCTACAATGCCCTCCATCTTCCTGCGCACAATGCATAGAACCTTCTTCCCGGCATAAGGATGAACATCAGTTGTATTACTCATATGGTTGTCCTAGGTTTAACTCTCCCCTCTGTCAGCCTCCAAGTCCCACACCACGACTATGTGGACAAAACAGACTTATGCCCCCATCAAGATAAAAAAAATTATCATATTACCGATACCAAAGTTCAAATTCACTCCTATTATCAGAAAAATGCAGTTCATGCCCTTGTTTCCTCGACTTCCGTGAACTTTTTATTGTTAATTGAAAAATAAAGAGTACAATGAGTTCATCAATAGACAATGAAAGTAACTCAGTAAGAACATGTATGCGCGCGTAAGAATAAATAAGTAGATGGAGAGAATAAAGCGCAGGGAAAGCACCTTTTTTGAAGAATGAGGGAATCGTGGAGGAGGCCGAGGAGGAAGATTGGTAGAAGGCGTAGTGCAGTAGCAATTTCTGGGTGAAAAACGGTTTGGCCTGAGCTTCCTACAACAGCTTTCTCTAATCAATCCAGAGGCAATTCTTGCTCCATTCATTTTGTTTATTTCTTCTTCTTACAGGTCTCAATGCGATCACAATATTAGGCGCGATTGATAATATAAGTTGAAGGCTGTGAACTTTTTACAATGCGTTTGACAAAGGAGGGATAGATAACTTTTGGGAAAATGGAAACTAATAATCCAACCTTTTAGCGGTCTTCTTTTAATAGTCCGACCTTTGCGTTATTCATGAATAATCCAACCTTTGCACATCATCTTCATTCATTGGTCCCCGACCGGTAGATGACCTGCTATTCCGAGTTATTTTCTTATCTTTGCAAACTATTATACCATAAATTCCACCTTTCACAAAGATAACATTTTACAAAGATAAGAAAATAACTCGGAATAGCATGTCATCAACCGGTCAAGGACCAGTGAATGAAGATGAGGTGCAAAGGTTGGATTATTCATGAATAACGAAAAGGTGGGACTATTAAAAGAAGACCGCTAAAAGGTTGGATTATTAGTTTCCATTTCTCCATAACTTTTTGGCTTTTAACTCTTGTCAATATAATCAAGATTAAAATTATTTTGGAAAAATTGACAAGAATAATCTCACATTTCACTGGTTTTCTCATAATAATCCCACCTTTAAATAATTCCAAAATAATCTCACATTTGCACCTACCTTCTTTCATTGGACCCTAACCATGTTTTTTACTCTTTCTTTGAAAATTATACAAATAATCTCACCTTTCACTTATTAATTATATCCTTATAAATGTGAGATTATTTATATAAGATTTTTAAAAAAGGTAAAAAACTTGGTCAGGGTCCAATGAAAGAAGATGAGGTGCAAAGGTTAGATTATTTTGGGATTATTTAAAGGTGGGATTATTATGAGAAGATCAATGAAAGGTGGGATTATTCTTGTCAATTTTTCCAATTATTTTTCTAACTGGGTTTATTGAGTGTTTGGAAAAGAAATAAAAGTGATTATTGGGTAAAAGTTGTAAGCACCTTCTACCATGCTTCTGTCTCCTTTTTTGGTTTATTGATAAATAAAAACAAGTTTGAGGGTAGTTAAATGCATCCCCTTTCCCCTAATATCCAATTTTACCCCTCTCAAATATCCAGATATCTCTTTGTCGCAGTCTCCCTCTATATCTCTGTCTTCTCCGTCTCTGTGTCGCACATCCCCATCAAAAAGTTGGGCCGTGAAGGTTGTTCCAGCTAAAATGCTCTCTTTCCCCATCGAAAAGGCATTGGTGATGTCTGCATTGCAAAATTGATACTCTATGTCTTATATGGCTTTAATAAAGAATCCAGGGAGATTTTCTCTTCGTAGCTATCAGTAACATCTTTAAAAGAGATATTGCAAAATTGATTTTTTTTATTACAAACCTCAATGGATAACAAATTGAGGGATTATCACAAGCATATTTTGATTTTAACTTTAAATTTGGAAAATAATCTTGGAGGAGCGTGTATATGAGAAAGTTGTGTCGCCGACTCGCAGGGGAGGGTGAGTTGATTAATGAAGGTAAGGATATTTTTGTATATTCCGAAAATTAGAATCTCACAATCACTTTTTTATCAAACATTCCAACTTTAACTTTTTCACTTTAATCACCTCTATTTTAAAACACTCACAACTTTTATCATAATCACTTTTTCAAAAATCACTTTGTAAAAAGTTAAGCAATAGCAGATTTTGAGAGTATGGTCTACTCCTAAGGTTTGTGCCGCTAAGTCGTTTATCCGGTTTCGATCTTTATCGATCGAAGATCGGTTTTGCTTTCTTTGATTCGTTATCACCAGTTTGTCATCAAGCTAAGGTCGGGTGGGGGTCTGGTGTCTCGTCGGTGAGGCTGCGGTCGGAGTTGCTCAGCGGATCTGCTTGTCTTGGTGAAGCTGCGGGCCGCAGACAGTTTTCTTTGTGGGTGAAGTTGCGGGCTTTGAGAAGGAACTACGGGCCTTCGTGGACTCGGGCGTTTTGGAAGGTGAGCAGACAAAAGCATATTTGGATCGTGATTTTTACTCGGGTTATGGACTCCTTGCTTGTGCCACTAGTTTCGATTGGGGAGGTAAGCATGATTTCCGGGTTCACTCGTGTAGTCGTGCTATAACCACAGGGATTAAGGAGATGCCTATGGGGAATTGTGGTGGTGAGTTTGCAGGGAGTGTTACAAGATGAAAGGTTGATGATCCGTCCTCCTCCTAAGCCACAGCCGATGATGATGTTTGAAGCATGGATTCGATTGCTCTGTCAATTTAATTTTCGTTTTACTCCATGGTCAGACTATTATGTTTTGTTTTTACTCTTTCTTCTGCTGTAAAACTCTTGCATTAGGTTTGAGGGTTGAGAGGTCTACGGTAATCGTCGTTGGCTTTAATTTGCTCAAGTTAGGTCTAGCGAGTTATATTGTTTTCCCAAAAATGATTAACTCAGAGTCTCGACCAAGGGCGGATGGTTAAATGTGGTCCTTTTATGTTCTTGTACCCCTGCTGAATGCTATTTTAATGATATAAGCACCTTTCGATAAAAAAAAGTTAAGCAATAGCAAGAGTTTAATGCATCAAACACCCTTGTGATATAGAAATTCGGCGCATTAGTCCCATGTGATTTAAAAAATGCGTCAAATCCTCTTGTGTTTTAATTAATCGTGCACAAAATCTCTTCTATTAACAAATTTAATTGTCAAATAAAAGAAAAATGATTAACACTTTTTCTATGATTCACAGATTTAGACATATTTAATTGCATATTCAGTCATAATATTACAAAAAGTGATTTTCAAATCATAAATTTATTCATAAATGGGTTTTTGCGCATGATTAATTAAAACAATGAAGTTTGACGCATTTTTAAATTACAGGGGATTAATACACTGAATTTCTATATCACTGACATTTGGTGCATTAATTAGGATGTTTTTACTTAGACTGTAATTTGCCCCAGACCAGACCAGACCAGTCCAGACCAGATCAGACCAGTTCAAACCAGATCAGAACAGACCAGACTTGGATAGTTATAAAAATACAAAGAAACCAGACCTTACGAGACCAGACCAGTTCAGACCAGACCAGACCAGCAAATTAGAGTACAAGTAAAAACACCCCTTAAACCCGAATAGGCAATAACAAACAAAGCCTAAATGTATACGAGTAATCATCAAATCCCCCTTTTTTTTAAACGACTAACCTAACTACCAAACACTTTTTTCTCTTGATGGAGGAAAGAGCTTAGAAAACACCATCTCCTTTCATTACTTGCAACTAGCAATGCCCACCATCTGTTTGAGTAGATCAATGTCCCTATGCCCAACCCTTTCGTATCCTATCACTCATCTTCTACATAACCCAAAGTTTCAATCTTTACACCCTACTTCTTTTTGTGCGTTTCTGAGTAGCTTCAAGTGTGGGAAGTTCCAGTTATTGAAACCGTGTTCGTCTCTCAAGGAAACCAAGAAGCATGAGACCTTTTCCAAGGCTCCCTCCACAGCCCCCGAGAAGTTCAGGACCCTTTTAAATTTCGGACCAAAAGGAGAGGATAATATTGCTGATAGTAGTGATGGTAAGAGCTTGGATGGGGACACTGCCGTTAAAGGTGCCATTTTGGCTGGTCTTCTACTTGTGGGTATGGTTGGTGGGCTTGGGATTGCGAGTTATCTCTACAAAGATCAGATCAATACCTTCCTGAACCAATTGTCTGTCTTCATTGAAGGTATATTCAGACAAGTAATATTCGGCACATCCAATCCCAATTCATGTGTGATTTTGTACATCTGCGTCACACTGTCACTGCGTTTGTGTGTCCTTGGTATTTATATTTGTTACCCGAAATCCCCAATTGGTCATTACTCCATGGCACCATGTAGATGGAGGGTCCAATTATAAATAATTCAAGGATTTAAGTTCTTGATACAATACTTGGGAGTTGGGACTTATTCAGTCATATATGGACACGAAGAAAGTGAATTTGATATAGCCTAACAACTGGAATTTTTTAATTTTTTTACCTTTGAAATTGGTAGGGTAATGCTTCAATAATAAAGTCTTTACAATTATAAACATTCTTGATTCTTGAAAGGGAAAATCACACTTTTGGTCCCTCAATTAGTCATCATATTGAAATTTAGACCCATTTTTAGATTGTAAACGTCACCACCGAATTGACAAATGTGCTGTAAATGTCATCTCCGCCGTTTATAATCCATCTCCAATTCTAGTCTACCAATGAATTCACTGGGGATGACATTAATAATCTCAAAAACACGGTCTGACATTTCAATATGGTAACTAATAGAGGGATCAAAAATGTGATTTTCCCTTCTGAAATGATAAAGGATGACAAGGACAAGGTATAATTAGAAGGCAGTCTCCAACAAAGATGAATCTCTACCTAACTATTCTAAGTTTATTACAGGGTAAAAAGTGTAAGTGGTCCTTAAACTATCATACCATATCATTTTGGTCCTCAAACTAATAAATCTATCATTTAAATTCTTATTCTATTTAGCCCACATCAATCTAGTCCTGTCAGTTTTTGTTGTTACATTGACGGTAGGTGAAACATGAAACATATTGCCATGTGAACAACCACGTAGCTAGCAACTTATATTTAATTCATCAATCATGTTTAAAAAATGCAAGAAAGAGATCAAAGTCTTTTGTAGAGAAACTCATTTGCAAAGTAATTCAGTGTCTAAAAAGTGTTATAAGACCAATCATTAACTTAATTTACAATTAGGGCAAATTGCATAAAAGCAAGTTATGTTTCTTGGTGAAAAGAAGAGCCATACAGAGCCTAGAAACAATGATCTTATTAACATTTATTTAACTGGGGTTGTTTAGCAGATGAGTTTCTTTCAAAAAGTTTAAGTAAATCAGTCTCCATCCATTCTAAAGCAAGTATTTGGTTTCACATGTGGTTGGGCTTTAGTTATTTGGATTAAAAAATAATATATGTATCACATATTTATTTGGGGAAAGTACGGAAAAAGTACTTGTGGTTGGGCCTGTTTTAAGATAGGGTCATGTGTTTCATTCTTTATCAAAGTGGTTCATGTGTTTGAATTCTATTATCGCAAGAGGGTCACACCGTTAAAAACGTCTGAAAAAGACCGTTAAATGTAACTCCGATTTTCAAAAGTGCCCGGAAAATTAAAAGAAAAATACCAAAAGGTGCGCCTCGTCAAGATGACCTCCAAACCACCTTCGCCTCTGGATTTTTCAAATCTGTTTCAATTATTTTTTAAAAATGATTTCGCTAATATCACTTTTTTGGTGGACTTTCCGGTGACAAGGGTGGCAAAAAACAAAAAAGAAAGATGGCCTAGCGGTCGTCTTATTGAGGCGCACCTTCCGATATTTTTATTTTAATTTTCCGGGCACTTTTGAAAATTGGAGTTACTTTTAGCGGGTTTTTTCAGACGTTTTTAACGGCGTTACGCTCCTGTGATAACGGAATTCAAACACATGAATCACTTTGATAAAGGATGAAACACATGACCCTATCTGAAAACGGGTCCAACCACAAGTACATTTTCCGTACTTTTCCCTATTTATTTTCATATGATAGAATCAAACATCTTGATTATATGGAGACACGCAAACAAAATTAAATAATAAAACAAGGATTATTATTATTGTTATTATTATTATTAGATGAAGTGTTTGTAAGAAAATGCATAGCAGGTGGAGTTGCTTCCACCATAAAAAATTCTTTGGTCTTTTTCTTAAGGTGGATTTTTTTAAGTAGTCAATGTCTTAAGTATAAATTGCTATACACTTGTGGCATTTATATGACAATATCATAAGCATTCCGTCAATTTAATGGTTAAAAATGATAGAAGAACTGGATTAATACAAAGGTTTAGAAAGGCTAGTTTGGGTATCGATGCAGTTTTTTCCAGAGATGCAAGGCGCCTCAGGAACCTGTACTATAACCGGATGTTCTCTCGTAACTCGTTTTAGTTGGGAGACATGAAAAACCTGGTGAACTTTAGCCGATGGAGGAAGTGCAAGCTTGTAAGCAATTGCACTTAATTTGTGGATGATAACAAAAGGATCAAAATATCTTGGGGCTAGTTTTTGGTTGATTCGTTTCTGAACTGTGGTCTGCGTGTGTAGATGTAGCTTAAGGAGGACTTTTTCACCTACATGAAATTCCAAGTCGTGAATTTCGCATTGGCAACTTTAGTCATGCACTGCTGAGCCCACTTTAAATCATAACAGAGCTGCCTGAGAATCTCATTTAAATCCTCGCGGTTATCTACCACTAGAGCCACTTTAAATTGGGTTTTTTCCAAAACTAATCCTTCCGTCCCATTTTAGTATTTTACCCATCCTACTCTCCTTTTTGGGTTGTCCCAAAATAAGTGTCACATTTCCTTTTTTGGAAGGAAATATGTGGTCCACAACATTTCACTTTATTATACTCAAATCTCAACCACAACTTTTACTTTTTCAACAACTTTATTAGTAATTGTGTCAAATGTTGTGGTTGACCATGTGATAAAGTGGTATGCACCAATGGATGGTTTTCTGGCTGCGGTGTGGTGGATTTATCGGGTTTGGGCTTTGGGTGGAATGAGGGAGACTGTTTAGGTGGTCCGAATTGTGTTCTCCCATCAGCTAAACTCTGTCACGTTTCTGATGGCCAGTTACTTTTAATATCCTTGGCATTGTTGTCACTGCCCATGAGTCATCATGTCTCTAAAAATAGCAACTCACATTCCAAGTGATGTGGTTGATCTGCGTACATGCATGAATGTCGTTGAAAATAGCAACTCATGTTCCATGGGATCAATACCAGAGAATCTTGGTATTTTAATAGGGATCTCTTCATCTAGAGATGGGAAGTGGTTTCTTTGGGTTTCGCCTTTGATGAATCAATGGCAGAAGCATCTTGAATGACAGTGTTGGAGTTGCACTGCCCTTTGGATGGTGACCAATGATTCAGTAACCCTATTAAGTAGGCTAGGAATTCCTCAATACCGATGAATTGCTTATTGACTTCCCTGCGGAATGCATCCTGACTCTTCTCTAATGCTTCAACTCGTTCATCCATGCGAGTTGTTTGCATCGTTAAGCCACAGGTCGGACCAACTTCAGAGTAATGTGACTGGAGCAGGAGTAAATCTCCATAATAGATATTTATTCTTTATTCTAGAAATGCTAAAGGATGAAAAAGACAAAGTAAACTTAGAAGGAAACCTCTAACAGAGATGAATATCTGCCCAACTATTCTAAGTTTATAACTTCGTATAATAACTCTAGGCATGATCCCTTCTCTAGTGTCAGGACCTTTATTTATAATAAATTATACTATCGTAATCCGTAAATAAAGTAAGTGCATCAATATAAATGACCAATCCCTTAAATTAGGAAAAATTGATAAGAATAATCCCAACTATTGGCGGTTCGCTCATAATAATCCCAACTATCGATTATCTCAAAATAATCCCAACTTTAGAGACCTTCCGCCAATAATGGTCCGGCGTGACCGACTATAAATAAATTTCTATATTTTCCAAAGTGGATGAGAAGAGATATAGCAGGTAATCCCTATAAATAATCCCATATTTTAA